CTTTCAAATCCTCTTAACGCTGAGACTTGCTTTGTGGCCCAGCACAGGACCTATCTTGGTGAATGTGCCCTTAGGTCCTTGGAAAACATGGTACTGGCAGTTGTTGGATGTAGTATTCTATAAATACGAGTTGCATCGAGATGGTCTATAGCAGGGGTCCCCAACCTCCGGGCCCGCAGACCGGTATCGGTCCCTGGCCTGCTAGGAACCAGGCTGCACAGCAGGAGGTGAGCAGTGGGTGAGTGGGCGAAGTTTCATCTGTATCTGCAGCCGCTCCCCAGCGCCAGCATCACCGCCTCAGGTCAGCAGGCATCAGATTTTCATAGGAGCCCCGGTCCCTGGTGCCTGGGGACCACTGGTTTATAGTATTGTTCAGGTTATCTACAACCTTACTGATGTTTTGTCTAATCATTCTATCGATCGCTATAAGAAAGGTATTAAAATCTTCTACGATCATTGTATATTTCGTTTCTCCCTTTAACTGTCAGTTTTTGTTTTATGTGTATTGAAGCTCTGCTCCTAAGCACATAAGCATTTATAATTATTATCCCTGCCTGGTGAGTTGTCCCTTTTATCAATGCGAAGTGTTCCTCTTTATCGCTGGTAACGCTCTCTCTCTCTTGGTCTGTTTGGTCTGATATGAACAGAGCCAACTCCTGCCCTTTTCGCCTGCTGTTCGTACAGCATAGCTTTTTCCACCCATTGACTTTCGCTTGTGTCTTTTATACTTAACATGTGTCTCCTGTAGGTCGCTTATAGGTCTCGGTTTTTATTCATTCTGTCGATCTCTGCTTCTTAATGGGAATATTTAAACCGCCGACTTAAAAAAAGTTTATTTGATAGGTGTAAAGTACATTGGTTAGACATTTATGTCGTTGATGCAGTGACCACCCCGCTGATTACTCTGCCACCCCTCTGGCTCTCCACCTGGCCCTTACAATGCTATTGACTCTATTCCCCATGCCGTACTCCTCAGCCCTGTGACTTTTGTAACTACTAATCTGTACCTTTGTCGCCCACCCCGCCCCCTCCCCTCTGTCAGTCACCAGATTATCCTCCGCATCAGCGAGTCTGTAGGTTTTCGTTTGTTCCTTTTGTTCTTCAGAGTCCACGTATACGTGAAATCGTGTGGTATTTGTCTTTCTCTGTCTGACTTACTCCACTCAGCGTAAAAACCTCTAGGTCCATCCATGTCGTTGCGAATGGTAGGATTTCATTTTTTTTATGGCTAATATTCCGTTGTATATACGAACTGTAGCTTCTGTGCCCAGGCACCTGTGGATGGGCGCGTAGGTTGCTTCCATGTCCTGGCTGTTGTGAATAGCGCTGCCATGAACTTGGGGGGGGGGTGCGCACAGAGTGTTACCAATCAGTGATTTGGTTTTCTTTGGATCAATACCCAGAAGTGCAACCTCTGGGTCAAAAGCCAGTTTCATTTTTCATTTTGTGAGGACCCTCCAGACTGTTTTCCATAGTGGCTGTGCCAGCGTGCGATCCCACCACCCGTGCATGAGGGGCCCCTCATCTCCAAGCCCTCACCGACACAGTCTTTTGATTTTTGATGATGGCCATTCTGACAGGTGTGAGGTGATAGCTCATTGTGGTTTTAATTTGCATTCCTCTGACGAGTAGTGATCTTGAGCATCTTTTCATATGTCTATTGGCCGTTTCTATTTCCTCTTTGGAGAAATGCCCATTCAGGTCTTCTGCCCCAGACCATCAGCGTTAAATGTCATTATTGACATGGTTGCATTTAAGTCTATAATGTTCTTGTTGTTTTCTCTTTGTCCCCTGTTTTGTTCCTCTGGTCTCCTTCCGTGTCCTTCCCGTCCTCCACCCTGCCTTTTTTGGGTATTATTTGCATATTTTTTAGTATTCTATTTTAACTTCTCTCATGGTGTTTTGGCTCCATATCGTCCTGTTATTTTTTTTAGTGGTTGCTCTAGGGATTACAACACATCCCTAACTTTCCACAGTCTACTTAGAGCGAATATTGCTTCCCTTCCAGTAAACTATAGAACCGAAGGTCCCTTTACTCTGACCCCATCTGTGCATGTCTGTTAAGCGCACGTGGTGTAATGGATCATCTAAACCGATGTTTCCTTACTGACTTTTCTATTTGGCTGGTGTATCCATTGCTGTGAGTGTGGCATTAAAGTCCTCTCCTATTATTGGAATACTGTCTATTTCTCCCTTTAGGGCTGCTAATATTTACTTGGTATGTTTAGGTGTTCTGATGTCGGGTGCATAAATATTTATAAATGTTGTGTTCTCTTGTTGGATCAACCTCGTCACTATGTCATGCCCTTCTTTGCGTCTTATTATCATCTTTGCTTTAAAGTCTATTTTGTCTGCTGTAACCACTCAGGCTTTCTTTGGGTTTCCATTTGCATTGACTGTTTCTCCATCTTTCACGTCCAGTCTGTCCCGGCATCTAAAGTGAGTCTCTTGTAGGCAGCGCGTAGATGGGTCTTGTGTCTTCATCTATTTAGACACTCACTCTATGTCTTTCATGTAGATCATTTAGTCCATTTACATTTAAAGTAATTATTGGTGGGTACGCACTCGTTGCCATTGGAAATTGTTTTCTGGCTGTTTTAATGATGCAGTTTTCAGTCTTTCTGGTGCTGGTTTAAGTCTGTTCCTGCACGTGCGGCTTGAGGGCGAGTCCGGGAGGGACTTGAGTGGGTCCCATCTTGAGAGACAAACCATCCCAGTTTGCCTGGGACTACGGGGTTTTCCAGGATGTGAGATTCTCAGTAATAAATCTGAGGAAGTCCTGAGCACACTGACGTACATTGGTCACCCCAGTTCACATACGCAACGAGGGGATCCCCTCCTGCAGGCCTTCTCTTTGAGATCCCCCTCATTCTTTCCATTCTTTCCCGGTTTCTCTGGCCAGACTTACAGGGTTTCTGGTGTCTAGCTGCCCATTCTGCTCTTTCCACCACGTGGCTCTGGAGCCAGAGCTTCGGATTTTGAGGGAAACAAAAGAAAAAAGGAGAAACGCCCCCTCAAAGGTCGCCTCTCTGCCTTTGACCCCATTCCACAACCTGTCAGCTTTTGTTCACTCTTCAGTGACTTTGGATAGTTTCTTTTGGTATTCTGTCTAAAGTTTTCAGTTTTAATCAGGCGAGATAATAGGCTTTTTTACAACTGGTGAAATATATGCAAAGCTCACCCTTAGCGGTTCGCAGGTGCGCAGTTCAGGGGCATTGGGAGCATGCGCACTGCCCTGCAGCCACCGCCACCCTCCATCCGCAGAACGTCTCGTCCGCCAAAGCTGAAACTCTGTCCCCAGTAGACACTCACTCCTCATCCCTCCCAGCCCCTGGTCACCTGGACAAATGGTTTTTAAAGCCTCTGTTTGCAAGATGTGTATCAGGCGGACGCCCATGGCAGGCCTGCGAGGGGCAGGGGCCCCCAGCGAGGAGGTGGGTGGGGAGCTCTCAGGTGCTCAGCACTTCTTGCCACTGGGGATCCCTCCCCACAGTGACTCCTGGCCTCTGACTCTACCCAGCGGCTCTGCTGGGGGCTGGGAGGATAGGGGTTGGGCTGGGGATGGGAGGGGGTGGTTTTGGCCAGCCCTCTCCCCCATCACCTGCGCCCTCACTGTTACGTCTGTTTTACTCACCTTTCCACCTTTGAGTATCCTAAGGAGACTTAGGAAACGAACTTCCAAAACCAGGCCCTGGGCTGCCCATTCCTGCAGTGGGGCCTTGAATGCCGGCCCAGGTCCAGGGGGTCCACCCAGGACCCTCCTCCAGGCCGTCCTCTGGTACCTGCCTGTGCCTAGAGGTGCCCAGCTGTCAGGATGTTCTCAGGAGGTACAGGGACTTTTGGACTTGTTGAGACCTGCTCAGGGGTCTCCAGAGTTTATCACGTGGCTGCTGGGGGCCAGGGTCAGGGCTGGAGCCCCGCTTCAAGCCGCTCCTGTCCTTTCCCGGCCCCTCCCCCACCCTCACTCAGGTTTTGTTCCCTCTAGGCCTCTGTAGGCACTTGGTTCTTATTGACCTTCTGGCTCTTTGAGGTCACTCAATTAGCCAGTTTCTGAGAACTTCTGAGCATCCCAGCTTCCCAGCCAAGAATCTGATTGGCTCAGCTCATCTCCTGGTCCAGCCCCCCAGGAACCGAGTCTCAGGCCAGACTCTCAGGGGGGCTGCCCCTGGGCGATGTTCCTGTCTTGGTCCAATCTGCTATGGTGGGGGCGGGACTACATCCCAGCAGAGGCAATCTGGACCAAGGGCCAGCGGGCAGGGACAAGGCCTCCGTGCCCTTGCAGCTGGCCTCGCACTGGCCCTGTGGCCACCAGCAAGGCGCTTCCCCTCTCTGAGCCTGTTTTCCTGTCCGTCTTTGCCCTTTGGGTAAACGGCCTTCGAGGGCCCAGCTTGGAGAGGCTCCAGCGCCGGGAGGCGTCGCCATCGCGTGGGCCTTGACTTTCTCCTTGGAGGGATTCGGCGGGGTTGGCGGGGGAGCAGTCCCACTTGGCTCGCGGTGGCCTCTCGGGGTTCATGACACCTGCCATTTCTTCGCAGGAGCAGAAACGAAGGGGGGCAGTGGCCCTGCGGTGCCTGAGGACCCCCGGGGCCCTGAGCTCCCGCAGCTCCCACGCCGCCCGCAGCTCCTGGATGAGGACGGAGCGCCCAGCGAGCG